CGAGCACGACAATATGGAGGGCGAGGACCAGAACGCCGAAGAGCCGGAGGAAGAGGAGAACGTGGCAAAGCAAAAAAAGTCGACTGTGAAAAAGCGACCGGCAGCAGCAGTAAAGCGCCCGGCGGCAGCAGTTTCGCGAGACCCCCCCCGATGCTACAAGTACATTTACAGGGCTTCCCGCAAGTACGGCTTCAGGCTCGGACTCCAGGGCCGCGAGGTTATGACAGTAACTTCGAGGCATTAGGCATTCAGATGTCCGTGTTTCACCTGTGTCTGGTGTGTTTTGATGTTATGATGATAAAACCTGCGCACAACATTCCAGGTGAAGTTCCCACCAGAGTCGGACATGTCAGACGATGTAATGGTCACGATTGCGGCAGCGGGACTGCACATGGCTTTAGTCAATCAGACAGCGCCTGAAATTGAAAGCATTGGGCGGGTTAAGGAAGCCGTGCGAGAGAAGCTCCAAGGAGGCATGGATGCGCACGCCGCAAAATCCATGGCCGTGCTTCGTCCGGAACGATATGACAGTGAGTTAGTATTAAAGGTTTAGGGTTTAGGGTGTTTTTTCTTATCGCAGTCCAAGGCTGCGATGATTGAAAGCAAGATGCAGCTTCAACCAGAAACGGAGAGCCTCCCGGCTGCTATGGTCGACTACGGCGAGGAGGGCGGCGAGGAGGAGCTGCCACTGGCAGCGGATGCTCTCGATGGCTGAACGACGGTTCGCTGACTGACACGACGGGTTGTGCAGAAAAGCGGGCTGGCAGACGAGTGCTTTGTATCAATGACCGAACGGCATGCTGCCGACGTTGTTGAAGCCTGCACGTCTCTCTTGATTGCACACACATATCATACTTGCACCCTCCAAGGCCAGGACGGGGACGGCCACAAGGAGACATTCCAGGCTTCTCGTGCCGGGCTTCGTTCGAAACAAATAGGATTTAGCGTTAGGGTTTAGGGTTCACGGCTTGGTAGGGTTTAGGGCTTAGGGCTTGGGGTTTCACGGTGAAGGGTTTAAGGCTTAAGGGTTATGGGTTTGGGCTTTGGTTTCAATGTGAACTTCAGACTTCTACACCCGACCCTTAGGCCTTGACCCAAATAACACTGAACCGTAAACCCTGAGGCCGAAGCCCTGAACACTTAATGCCTACACACAGCACACAGTGAACCGCGAGCCAACCATCGTTTATGAAACGGCCTCCCGCTTTGTCATCATGTTAGTACTACATTAATGCAACATTTAATATGACAATCAATGAATAAATTGTTTGCGGGGTACCGGTTCCTTTTCTTGGCCGAAGTCCTGTGTGCAGTGTCGACAATGTGACGAGATCGATTTTGGCATGCGGGTTAACCACTACTCAGTACGACATTGTAGCGCGGATTATGAGTATTGAAGTCGCATCTCAAGCGTGTCTCTATGTTCCTGCGCATGGCTTACATGTTACAGTAGGATTATAGAGAACGCGGTCCTGCGTGACACATGGACATGCATGCATTATTATGGATCGTGATGTGTGTGTTTTGTCGTTCAGGATTGACGGTAGAAGCTTTGAACGTATCAGGTTGTTGAGTGCCTCAGCTTCGCATTGCTTGCCTTGCTTTCTTCACCATCTGTGAGTTTCGTGGTATCATGCTAATAGAATGTCATTGTGTCCGGGCAATAGCACTCAGACTCCTTTCCAGCCATCCGAATACTCAGTACTTGGTCGTGCCATTCTAGTGCTATCCTAAGTTTTCATTTCGCTTATTCCTAAGACGTTCCTGCCACTTACATTCCATCCATCCTAGCCCTTGATTCGTGCTGACTGAGTGCTGCGACCGTGGATGGGCTCAGGCTTCCAACCAATTAATAAATTATGTATAGTACAGGATGCGATTCACACATCGTCTCAGTCTGTCAGTCAGGCAGGGGGAGATAATATCTGTCATGACAGTCAACGGCGTTGGAGGTAACGGCCTGACGGATTCAATTTAGAAATTTAAATGAATCATGTCAAGCTTGATGACGAGATAATGACTGGACAGAACTGATTGCAGCTCACTTGGAGCCGGTCCCACGAGTATTACGATCGTGGTGCGAGTGCGGCATGTCGCGATCTGACTGTGGATAGACGAGGACACGAAACTCGGGCTGCGGTGAGCACGACGACATGGCACTGACTGAGAGACTTGCTCATTGGAGGGTTGCGAAGTAAGCTCATGTCCGCGCGTGCGAGCATGCGTCTTGATGTCGCTGCACATGACGCGAGGCATGGGGATCCGAACGTTCGCTGTGATTTTGGTTTTCGGGGGCCCGGGGCTTGGGAGCAGACAAACTCTGTGGAGTCCCTCAGGGTTTAAGCTATGAGAGCTTAAACTTAAACTTAGAAGCCGAATTCCATAGGGGGTCTAGTTAACAGTTCGTTGTCGAGCAAGATCTCTAAAGCTCTTGGTCTAAGTGCAACATTGAGATAATATTTTCATTGTCTGATGTTCTTCATCAGATTCCAGAAAATTTGGGGGGGGGGGGGTTCCTTCAGATTCGGGTAGACTTGGGAGGGGAATTACTCCAGTGCCAGGTTGGCCAGGCTCCGTGATGCATTCAGGAATAACGCTCTAAACTCTTATTATCCAATGGTGATCGAAGTGGTAACAACTTAAAGCTTGATCCTCGTATCCTAACAAATCGGGTCTATAGGTCCCACCAGGTGGTATCCGCTCACTTGGAATCACTATTTAATTTAATAATATGATTTCTTCGGCCTGGTCTTATCCTGATAAGCGTTATGGGGTCCCTGTGTCCATCATAACACGTGGGTCCCAGTATCTTCACTCTTCATGTTGGGGGGTGCTTGGTACTGCAATCCTTCTGGGTCCTGCTTTCCTCAGAGGGGTCCTGCCCTAAAGGATAATTCCGAACTATAAACCAGTACTACCTCCAAATTACAACTAATACTTTAAGAGCTCAGAGCGAGGCTGTAAATATTTAGATTTGGCAGGTCGATGCCATGTCCATGCAATTCCGACGGGCGAAGGCAAATCCAACAATCTTGGGCTTCTCGAACTCCCATGTGCTATGCCGGCTATCTGATACAGCAGGAATCATGCAGCAGGAGGGATGATGCCACACATCACACTGTTGACAACAGTGAGACGTGAAATGGCTGCCAGTCGTGGAGCCGGACTCGAATTCCCATGTGCATTGTCGACAATCTGTCAAATGATGGCTGACACGTTGACCAGTCGGTGTCATTTCATGGTCGCACGGAACTTTCGCGGCATGAGCGTGAACTTGACAATTAGAACGCGGATGTGCAAGCACGCAGCCATGTTCGTCCAGTTGGCACACTGCAGTGAGGGGTCATCGTGCGTCATGCAATTCAATGCAATGCATGCAAAATAATAATTTAATTTTGACCGCACGTTGAATTGGCGATGTGTGGGGATGCGTGACTGTGCCGTACGTGGCATGCTAACACACCACTATATTCGGACACTGCATAATAATGGCATTGCAATGACCGGTTGTCGTGCGTCATGACAGGACATGCAATGCATGCGGATCCTGATCGCGTGTTCAATGGGGCATGGGTTTGGACGACTTCAGGGTGACTTTGGGGCTCACTGACTGGCTGGGCTGCTGTTATCCTAAAGCCTATAACCGTTGCATTCCAGCCTGGCGTCGTAATGAATTTATGATGAATATAATCGTTAGTCGTCGTGCTGTCGTGCTATCCGAAGTTTTACTTTTAATTGTCACCCTCCTGGCAGTTAACTTGTCATTGTGCAAATTGCACACGTACTTCGTGCTGTCCTGAGACTTACTTGAAAGTTAAAATGACGCTTTACCATCGAAACACACTTCGTACCATCCTAACACCATAATAACATAATAATGGGTCAGTGTTGGTCCTGGATTATCCTTACCTTAAAGTTGGGTCTGGGTATCCTTTCACTTGAAGCTTCAAGATGTCAGTCCGAGTATCTTAACGTTTTGGCTCTTTAAATAGAAACTTGCTAAATACCGTCTGGGTCCCTGTAGTATCCTGACCTCTAGGCCCTACTGCCCTCATAATTTAATGTTGATCCATGTACTGCCCGGTCGGTACAGTGACTGGTAAAGATGTCGGAAGGATGGTGAGAACGATTCCTCCAGCGAGCTTCTGCCGCAATCGGAAGTCTTCGAGGCACTTCTGCTGAAAGGATTAATTACTATTATGTAGTAGTAAGTAGCAAAATGCTGGTTTGCAGGATTGCACAGCTGCAGTCGTACCATCTCGGACTGAGAGTTGCTTGCGGCTTATAAATCCTCTGTGCACCATGCTGCCATTATGCAACTCAGGATTCGTGCTGGCATCGTGAGAAACGGTGCATGCTACGAGCTGCAGCACTCTGTGTGTGCGTTAACGATTCTGTATCGGCCTCCCAGCGCTCAGATGGTTTCGTACTAAGTTCAGATGCCTTGACCCGAGACTCTGTCAGTCAATTCAATGCCAATGTCCATCAGCTATTCCGATTCCGGGCCGATGTCGCCCACGATGTCCAGTAGTCTACAAGCGTGGGGAGAAGTCGTTCTCTGATTGGCGTGTTGGGCTCTTTTTCAGAGCCCGCAATAACCGGAACATCCAGAACAGTCGCAGTAGCAGCAACATAACAGTAAGTAACACAATAATAAGCAGCAGCAGCAGTCAGAGCAGTTTGCAGTAGGGGTTTTGGCTGGACTAGGGCTTAGGACTTACCCAGTGCCAGGCCTCCAGACCAGGACTGACAGATAATGGGAGCCCTGCCAAGATGTTTGCAACTCAACTCTTTAGAGGCTGCTCCTGGCCTGCAGGACCGCGGGACCTAACCGCCCTTTGATTTTAGATGAAAGGGGCGCGCGCAATAACAAATGACTGCATTACTATTATTTGCAAAAAAACTATTTAATAAAACCCCTGAACTCGTCGTCCAAAAAACTCATGCTTTTATTTTTTGTTCGGGCGTCATGGCCAGACTCAGAGCGCATGCAGTGGAATTTAGCACCGATTGCGACACGGATGGACTGACTGGAGACAGCGGGGAATTGCACCGGCGCGGCGTAATGACGCCCTAAACCCTAGAGAAATTGCATGCGCAACTTGAAGGCCCAGTTGTAACTTGAAGGCCCGAATGCACGGACACAGCCTTGCCTGTTGATGGGCCTCCTCTCCGCCGGCGGCGGTTCTTCTGCGCTTGGCTGGGCGCGGAATCGGGTGGGGTGGTGGTGGTGGTGGTGGTGGTGGTGGCAGTGGTGGTGCTGGTGGCGGTGCTCGGTCTATGGGCACCAGCAGGTCGTAGTGGTCCCTGCCGTTGTACCAGAGATGGATCACTTCCGTGGCGTTCGGTGCTGCGTGCGGCCCGCGTTGGGCTGCTTCGTCCACGTCCGAGTGCGTGCGCTCGCTCGTGAGGATGTCGCCGTTTGGCGTCCGCCAGTGCAAAAGGACTCGCTGCTGCCTCATGCGGGTGAAAGCGATGATGGCCGTGTCGCCGCCCCAGTGACCCGGATCGCTTTGGAGGTATTGGCTTTCCTGTAGCCAGGCCTGCACTTGCTCTTCGTCTTCTTCGGCTTCTGCGTTCTCTCTGAGGTACTGGATGATTAGGGCTCGGAGGCATGCCCCGCTCTCGCCGGTGTTCTCTCCGAGCGCGTGGAAGAGGCAGTTGCCGTCGCCTGACATCTTCTTGATGGCCAGCGTGCCCCGAAAGTGCTCCTCTCGGGTGCATTGTCTGCTTGCCTAAAGAGCGCTCTTGAGAGTGGATGCTCGAGGGAAAACGCCGGCCTCGACGCTGGGTCCGGGCTCCGTGTCGTGGTCGGAGCCCGCCTCGGCCCCCCCTCGTCGCGCGGCCGGTCCTTCGTGAGATGGTTCAGCGGCATTCCTTGCGAGCTTTGCCGCTTCCACGGCTTCGTTTCTTGGCGGTGTTGCCTCGGCGGCTCTGTCGGCCTGTGCACACAGTGGGACTAGACGCTTGCCGGGGGAGGTGTTGTGCGCCTTTGGGGTGTAGCTTCTCTCCGGTGCCTCTGCTCGCTGGAAAGCACGATCCAGGGCTCTCTCGTCGTCGGCCGTCCATCGTGGCTGGCGCGGCAGTGGCTTTTTGGGGGCCTGCAGGTCACGATGCCGCGTACGGCTTGCTTTCTTTTTTCTATGGCTTTTCTCGTGGCACAAGTCCTTACTTGCATTCCGGCCGTGATGCCTTCTTCCGTCGGGGTGTTCTTGGCTTCGCGCCGGAGGGCGGGGTCGTGTCCCGTCGAGGTGCGGTTGTCGGGGAGGTTTTCCAGGCCTCGTGCGTGCATGCCCGTGTGCTTTCCTGGGATTTCTGAGGGCGACGGCACGAGGTGTCAGCGCGCCTCGTCGATCTTGATTGTTCCGCCCTCGGCCGGTGGGTTCGGTGCGCAGTTGCGCGACATACATGCGTGTATACACGGGTTCTCTCTTCGGAGGCTCTGGGGCATGCACGGGCGTCAGAAGTGTCAGGCTGCATCTCCTCGCCAGGTAGTCCTTCTTGAACGCTTCGAAGTCCCAGCCGGTCGCCTCGTGGTTCGGTGCGCTGAGGCCGTTGAGGTTTCGGGCGGGGTCGGGCCGTCTGCGCGTGTCGCATGCGATCCCGCCTGATCGTCGTCGTCTGTCATGTCGGCCCACCGTCGGCTGCTTTCGGGCTGCATGATGGCTTCACCTGCAGGGGCGGGGGGGGGGGGGCGAACCGTGACTGCTCTTTCTCTCTTACTGTCGGAAGCAGCTTCGGCCTAGATGGTTCTTCAGGAAGCGGATTTCTGCTTTGGAGGCTCGATCACGAATTGGGCTGCGGTGCCGGGTTAAGGTTGGTGTGCTCTTGCTGCACGCACGATGTCAGCGTCGTTGGCTTGCTGCTTGCAGCCGAATCCTCTTTTTCCTTCTGCTGCTTTAGCTGCCAGTCGCGATGCTCTTTCGCAGCCGGCGCACGGCAGAGGTTGTGTGAAACGAACGACTCTTTCCCAGCTCTGTGCTGTCAGCATGTCTCACATGTCATGGGAAAGGACCAACGTGAGCAGTGGCCCGTCTGACGTCTTGCGCATTGCTTGGTTGCGAGTCCGCAGGCGGCCCCGGGCTGAGGAGCCTTGTCGGGTTCGCCGCTCGGGTATGCGCCCCGGTCAGCGGAGATGTCGTGTGCGCTGTGGGCGTGGTCGCTTCGCCTCTGGCCGCTAGTATGCATTCTATTATCGTTGCTGGTGCCTTGTGCAGCGCAGCTCGGTCCAGGGCGGCAAGCTCGTCGAAGGTGAGATTCGGATCGGCCTTGGCGTGGAGGAGTGCTTGGGTGGCGGCGACGGAGCCGCTTCTGACTGCGAGGTTTAAGGCTGTGCACTGACTCTCGGCATTGGTTACGAGACAGGACTCACCTTCCAGGAGGTGTCGGCCGACGCGTGCATTTGCTGGGCATCGCATTTCTAGTAGCCAGCACACGTTGCGGGCGTTGCCTGTGCAAGCTGCACTGCACAGGCTTGCGGTGAGGACCTGCATTCCGGGGGTGCTGTCGCTTACATATTCTAAGGGGATGGCACTTTTGTTCGCTGCCGCTCGCGCGACTTGCTGCATGCACTCCGGGTCTGAGTGAGCTGCTGCTGCGCAGGCTAGGGCCACGAGGGTTGCTAGGCTTCGAGGGTTGGCTCCGTAGGACCAGTCTGGGTGGCTTGGGTTTTGGGCCCAGCTGGTCGGGTCCTCGAGCATTCGCGTGGGATCGGCTCGGGCTGCCAGCAGCATCGTGATCTTGCCTGGATGTGGACGGCCCTGTAGCAGGTTTTCGGGGTGGTCGTGGCATGCTATGTCCAGGGGCCGCCAGGGATCCGCGGAGCCGCCCAGGTCGGCCCGGTGCTTTAGGAGCGTCTCCACGTGGCTGCTTGGCGCATATCTCACGGCGAGGGCCAGCACGTCTTTGTTTTCGGGTCGGTCCAGTTTTGCTTTGGCTTCCAGCAACGTTCGTAGGGCAGGCAGCGACCAGGGTCTGTTCTGGTTCAGCATGAGAAGTTCCAGTCCCGAAGTCGGCGTCGGGTAGAATTGCTGGAAGACGGTGTTGGGGTCCAGTGGCCGCCAAAGTATTTTTTTCAGCTTCGAGGTGTTTCTGTTCCACAGGGCCAAGCGGAAGTCTTCCGACTCCCTCGAGCCGTCGTGTATCTGGACGTAGGGCAGGAAGACGGCCTGCACGGTTGATGTGGCATCGATGCGTAGTCTCCCGCCCTGCAGCCTTCGTCCGGCGTGCAGTAGCCTTATGGTCTGCTTCGGTGCCGGCGTGGCGCAGCAGTACTCCCCTACGTACGTCGCCAGCTTCCTTGCTGTCCGATGCCGCCGTGCGTCTGTTTCGCCCAGGAGTTCTCCACTCAGCATGGTGATGCGCAAAGGCCCTGGCGACGATGCTTTCTTCAGTGTTCGTCGTGCAAACGGCCCCGGTCTGGGAGTCTTCGTCCTCGCAGCATCGGCCATGGCGTGTCCGGGGTGCTCTGCGGTTGTAGGCACCCGCGTGCTTTAGGGTGACCGGCCCTCCGTACGTTTGTGGGACCTGCTCGCTACAGGTGCTGCTATGCGTGTGAGTACATCGTTCCTGTGGCTTTGCCGTCGTGCCGGGTTGCTTGTCGTTGAGCTGTGAGCCTGTTGCCGCCTTGCTGACTTGCTGCTGGCGAATGGTGGCCGCGGCCCGAGGTGTCCGGTCGCGCTCTTGCCTGGGCCGGCTGACATATGACTGCGAGCAGGCCTGCGTGTGTCTGGTCGTGCAGCGGCTCCAAGTCTGGCTTGTGCGGTTCGGCGAGTGCTTTGGCGCCTATGCTGGGCATGACCGTGCGCCTGCTGCCGGCTCTCTCCTTTTTTTGCCTTGCTGCGGCTCTTCTGGTCTCCGGGGGTGCTGTACATCGTGCGCTTGCCGCTCGGTCCCCTAGTGTAGCTGGTGCTCGAGACGCTGGTGCTCGGCCGGCCTGTGCACACGGCACCTACTGCCTTTCACTTACGTCTACGAGTCGATGCACGTGGCCCGGGCTTGGGGCTCGGCGGCCTTTTCGGTTTCCGGCGGCTGGCTTCCTTCCAGTGGACGACAACTTCCACGTGTGCCATCTGGGCGGTGATGCTGTGCTCGAGGATGTTGCTCCAGCTCCAGTCGTCTGTGATCACGTTCCCGTCTAACATCAGCTTGGTGGCATGCAGGTCGATCGGCCCGGTGCTGCTGCTGTCCAGGTCGTGGAGCAGGACTTCTCGGGGGCTGCGATGCCGTAGCACCTCTGCGGGCGGGGGCTTGTTGGTGTGCTGCCGTATTGTGCGCAGCTCCGGGAGGGATAGAAACCGGTCCCGATGGTTTCCTGGTTGCAAGGGGGCCTGCTCGCGAAAACGGTAGCTTGGGTAGGGTCTCGAGGTGTGGAGTTCACCGCCTTTTGCGTCCGTGTAGGTCACCGTCATGTTCGGCATGATTGCGTCCTCGAAGCTCTGGATGTCTTCGTCGGTCTGTCTCTGCATCTTCTTGCGGCTGCTCTCCATTTCCGAGTTCTCGTAGTCGTCCGTGAAGCACACCTGGTCGGAGTCGCGGGTGGAGGGGTTCGAGGAGGGGGATTCCTCGTCCATGTCGTCGGACATCCTGGTCGTGGCGGTCGGCCTCAGGAGCACCGGTTGCTGGACGCCCGCCGCGTTTCATCTGCGGCGACGTGCGCGTGCTGAGGTCTGCGCGGGAGCACGGGCGAGCGCAACCGTTCGAGAGAAGATGCTGCGGCGGCCGCGTGCGAGGAGATGCTGTTGGGGCGGGATGTGTTGGGCATTCGTGCAAGGCTACCTCGCTGGCATGCTAGCCGGGTCTGTTTGGGGTTCGACCTGTGCGCTGTTTTCCTTCTGCCATCCCTCGCCATGGTCTTTGCAGCGAATCGTGCCCGCTGGCTCGTGCGGGTCCGTGTTCTGCCTGGGCGGGTGCCCTGCATGCCGATCCAGCCCGTCCCGCAGCTTGCTAGCCAGCCAGCCAGCCAGCCAGCCAGCCAGGCACGGTTTTTTCGGTGTCGCATGTAGGCTCTCCGTTCAGTCTGTCCCCCACGGTCTCGGCCGCGACCTGTGCTGCTTTTGCTTGTCTGCAAAAGCGATCGGCCTCCTGGTGTCGTGTCTGCTTTGGAGCTGCTATTGTACCGCATGGGCGATGCTGATGGCCGGTGTCGGCGCTGAGGAGCTGTGCTCGCGGTCGGTCTGGGCGGTCGGTGTGAGTTTCGCCGCTTCCTTGTTTGCCTGGTTGCGGCGCCATAGTTGTTGGTCTGCAAGTGCTTCCTGCATGTTTCTTCTGCCTGCGTTCCCGAGTGCTCTCTGGAAAAGGAGCTTTGCTGTTGATGTGGGCATCGCGTCCGGGTTTCCCGGCTCCGCTAGCAGCGGGTTGCAGCGGGCCTGGAGGAGCATCATCACGTTTGTCGTATGACCTCCCCATGCGGCCAGGGCGAGCGGTCTGCGTCGGTTGGCGTTCGGGGCTTCCATGTCGGCCCTGGCATTCAAGAGCTTGCGTACTATCGCGGTACTGCTCTTGCGTGCTGCTGCTGCGAGGGCCGTTGTACCATTGCGGTTGCGCGTTTCCAAGTGGCAGCGGGCTGCGATCAAGAGCTCCACTGTCCCTTCTTGTTGTCGCTGTGCTGCCTGCAGCAGCAGGCCGTGGTCTTCGTCCGTGTTGGCGTTGACCCGAGCTTCGAGCAGGAGTTTCATGTTTTCCGTGCGATTTGCTTTGGTTGCGGCTTGCAGGGGCGTCGTCGTGGGGAACGTCTTGATGCAGTTCGGGTCCAGCGGGCGGCTCAGGAGTTGCTCTAGCCTGAACGTGTTGGAGCTTCGTGCGGCCGCGATCATTTCTGCCGTGGTTTTGTGGTCGGCCTGGGTGTACTGTAGTTTGATCATCTGCAGGTCGGCGGGGGCGGATATGAGAGCCTCGTCGTCCAGGGGACCGTCTGGCCCCAGCAGTTTCTGCCGAAAGCGTGGGAGTCCTGTCTCTCTCTGTAGCCGGCCTTTGACCACTCGCGCTTGTTCCGGCGCCTCGAGCGTGGCTTCCAGCAGTTGTTGACCGGCAAGATTGACCACGCGTAGGAGAAGGAGCTCCTGGCTTTTCCGCTTCGTGGAGCCTACGCTTGCGTCCTCTGAGGGCTGCAAGGCCATGGCCGCCGATCGCTTCCGCTCGGATTCGAGCCCTGTTGCTTGCGGCATTGTTTGGGGCGTCGAGGGCTCTTGGTGTGCCTGTCCGCCAGCTCTTCGTCGTGCGGTTCGTGCTCGCCTCCGTCCTATCTTTCTTGCATGCGGTGCTCCTGTGACCACGCTCGCACTTTTTCCCTCCTTTTGGCGCCCGAGGCTTGCGAGTGTCCGGCACTAGTCTGTGTGTTCGTCCCGCACGTTGTCGTGCACCCTGCTTCTGTCCTTTACGAGGTCTGCGATCTCCTTGTCTAGTAGCTCGACCTGCTGCACCCACGGTTCCTGGCCGTTGTCGGGGTGCGTTCCAACGATGTACATCTCTGTCACGATCTTCCGGTAGTGCCTCTGCAGGATCCATCGGTACATGTTGATCTGCAGGTGGTAGTGGGTGAGGCTGCTGTCGCCCAGGTGCTGCAGAGGGGGTTTCATGTAGCGGTTGAAGTGCTCTCCTCGGCTTGCTATTCTGCTGCTCCGCTTCCAATCCACGAGAGCCAGGCTGCCGTCGGCCTGCTGTAGGACGAGGTCGATGCTGCCGGCTACGTCGATGTCGTCGGCGTAGATCTTCCATTCCGTTCTGTAGGCCGTCGCGTGTCGCACGCTGTCTAGGAACTTGAAGAGCAGGCTTATCTCCGGTGTCATCGCCTTGACAGTCCCTCCGTTCAGCAGGCACTCGAACTGGGCGTGCATCCACGTCCCTTCTTTGGCTGCTTTGTCGCGGGCGGCTTCCCATTTTCGTTTCACGTCGTCACTCGGCATAGCGAGGGCGCGCAGCGCGGCTGCGTGTGGCGGGCCTGCCTGCTGGAGGGCCTCCTGCAGTTCTCGGTCCAGTTCCCCGTCGTCCTGGTCGCTCTGTTCGAGCATCGCCAGGATGCGGGGGCCCCTGGCCAGTTGGCCGATCTTGTCTCTCACGTCCGGTGGCGGGGTGATGCTGAGGTAGCCGGCTCTGGGCCAGTGGGCGCCTTCCATCATGTTTTGGAGCGTCTTGTCCGCGTCGAATCCCGCGGCGTATCCGTGGATTACCTGCGTCACGGACTCTCGCACGCGTCTGGTCTTCCAGAAGTAGGTGTGTGTTGTCTCGTCGAAGCGAAGGTTCACATCTCTCGTGTGGGCGTTCACGTGCTGGAGCCTGTCCGCAACGAAGTTGCCTGGTAGGTCTGGCGGCAATGGTCCTTCTCCGCGAGCTGGGAAGTCTGTCGGTGCGTTTGGGCTTCTGACCAGGTTGAGCGGCAGCAGGTGATCTAGGCCCTCGGTGAGCAGGCTGACCTTGTGCTCTTCGTGCTGGGGCTCCGCGTCTGCGTTCTCCGTCTCCGTGCTGGACTGCTCGTGGCAGGGGACGTCGGCCTCCATGTGCTTTGCGTGGGCGATTGTACGGTGGGGCCGTGGTGGCGTGGCAGTGCGCGGAGCTTATGGCGGCGGCGGCGGTGCTGGGTGGTGCCGTCGCCTGGCAGGCCTCCTAGCTACGGTGTCTTTGCGTCGAGGGCGCGGCTGCCTAGGTCTTATTCTGGCCCTGGCGCTGTCATGCGTGCGGCGCCCTTCCTCTGCTGGCCCTGCATCCTGCCCCGCGGCCGCCCTTTTTTCTGTCTCTCGCGTGCTGTTGCCCATTACTGTACAGTCTGCGCTAGCTCTCAGGGGGCTGTGCCGGCGCTAGACTCGGTGCAGGCTTATGCTGGGTTTTTGCCCGGGACAGCCGTCGTGCTCGTAGTTCAGCATGATGGGGACGTAGCACGGGATGCTGTAGGATTGCGGCCTTGGCCGGGCTTGCGAGCTTTGCGGTTGGGGCGGGCCGTCTGCTGCCAGCGGCTGTGCCCGATCCCCTTCTGCTCTGGCGCTGCTTGCTGGTTCTGGTGGCGCCAGTACTGGCTGCCACTTGTAGACGAGCTCGAACCAGGTTCGACACGGGAAGCGGTGGTAGCGGCATCGTTCTTTGAGGGTGTCCTGCCACCACTTGAGCTGTTCTTGCTCCAGCTCGTGGTACATGACTGCCTGGACGAATTGCTGGACTTCTTCGTGTAGGCTGTAGTAGTAGGCTTGCCCGTCAGGTTGCTGCGGCTCGCCTTCGGTCGCAGCAGGCGCGGTGTTTCTGGGGCTTGGCGCTGGGCTTCTGAGGCCGATGCTATATGCAGGGTCCTGAGGCAGGGGCTCCGTGCCGCGTCGGCGCCGGCCGCGAAGTGTTGGAGTGGGATCGTCTGGTGTTGCGTGGCGTCGGAAAAGGTCCTGGTGGCGTTCCTGAGGCTCGAGCAGACAGAGATGCGTTCGCTCTCAGGGGCCGCCTCTCGCCTGAGAGCCTTGCCGCTGCTGGCTCT